CCTTCCTTGGGAATGGTGGTCGATTCGTCGTGGATTCGGCCGTTCATTCAGGAGACCTCGAAGCGGCCTTTGACCAGGCGGGACGGTCTTTCGCGCCGTCGACCCAAAGCGGTCGGCGTTTGGAACGGAAGAACTCAGAGCGTTGAGTGACACGGGGTGTCATGCGTTTTGCAGGTCAGCTTGATTCAACTTAAGAATCACCGTGTTCCGGATTCCGATCACCTGAACCGATTGTGTTGCTCATTCGATGTGTTGATCGTCACCAGTTTACCTGGTTTCCGACTGCGACGATCGGATACGGCCCACTTGTCTTGGATCGGCTACGGCGAAGACGATGTCAGGTGGAAAAGGAGGGCGATGAGGTCATTGAAAGTGAAGCTGACGACAGCGACTCTGCCTTGCAGATCGGCTTTGACCCAGATGAGGAACCCAATCCTGTGATGCTTGTAGGACACGCTGGGGCATGGGACCCATGGGACAACCCATGGGACATGGGGGGTGACCACGTCTTGGAGCGCCTCTCTGAGTGAGAGGAGGGGGAAAGGGAAAGAGAGACGTCGACACGTCTTTGCAAATGCCAAAGTTTGCCGTTGAGGGAGTTGGATGTGCTGCTTCCGCATATCCAGACGATCCAGATCATGAAAACGAGAAACGAAAAGATCGTATGTGGCTGACTCCTTAGATTGTTTGAGCAACTGCAGCTTCATTTCCCGTCATCAGCCTGACAAAATAGCACTTACACATGACATAGTACTGGCCATCTCCTATTTGGCTGCTTCAGGACATGCCATCACACCCATTTCCATTGGCTTGGTGATTGCGACCGTCCTTATTGGTGCTACTGGGTTGTTAGCGGTCTTCTACACCTGGTTGTTAGCCATCGGCTATTTCATTCTGGGCCTGTTTGTTTGCTTCATTCCAGCTTTCATTCTCGACGACTTCGATCCTGGTATGTGCATGAGTAAGTTCTTGGCCTTTCCATTTCATGCCATCAAGTACCTGGCTAAAGGGGCCTGGCGCTTGGGGAAGAAGCTCGTGAATGGCACCAAAAGTGCCTACCGCAACTGGCGCGGAAAGGACACCAGTGGCACTGTGGAAGAAGGGGATGACTCCCCAACCCCAGATTCCTAAGGCCAGACCCTCTTGGTTTTCGGACCGCATGACTGACTGCGCATGACTCGAAGAAAAGCTGTGTGCTTCTTCGATTCGCGAGCTGAACAGGAGACACCATAGGTGTAGACTCATTGGGTTAGATCATTTGGGTGAATTGTTTGTTTGCAAAATCAATCCACTTTCTTTTGGTTCAGGGTGACCGGTTGCAGATCGGATTTGGATAATCGGAGAATGCACGCTTAATGTGAACTGAACAGACTTGTTTACATCGATGAACACCAGATGATATTGCTACCTAGCAGCCATGGAGACAATTTTGTGATATTACACGGGTAAAAAAACACGATCCCAACAAAAACACTTATTAACTTGCCCGTTTGAGCCCGCACTGGTTTGGCCAGAGTTCATGGTGGTTTTGTTATCCACTCTTCACATTCCAACACGTCATACCCGTGCTCTGATGATGGGCATGTTAACTGCGTTTATTGAAAGGTGTAGAAGGACCTGTCCTGTCCTTTACATTTTGCGAGGGTAGCTGCGAACTGCTTCAGCTGTTAGGGCTTTGGAACATTGAGATACCTATTTTGGCTCTGGTTGCCTGCGTTTTTGTTGCCTCGTTGTGAGGTCTAGGAGTTGCAGTGTGCAAGTGTGCTTCTCAGAAGTTTGACCGAAGGAACTGGTCAGGTACCCCATGACCTCATTTACTCGGAGATATGTTTATCCCTAGGCTCCCCAGGAACTCATTCTGTTAAAGTTCCACATACCACCTGACATGGCAAAGCCTGTCATTTTGGCCGTTGGGATTGGTTCGCCAAGGTCAGGGTGGTACACAAAAGTGACAGAACGATGCTTTTGAGCCTCGCCTCATTGCGTTTGTTGTGCCTGAGGTTCGTCTTGCTTCGGCAGGCAGAGAAGCTCTACGGGGCCCACGCCGTCAAGTGCGCGATGACAAGTTGATGACCAGACCAGTGACAAGTGACATGGACGACTGGGAGTTGATGAAAAGCTGGAGGTTAACCAGAGGTTGAAGGACCCTTTGGACTATCCCAATAGGTACCCCAGGTGACAGGTCCTAGTTCAGGTCACTTCACCTGTCTTAGGTCATTTGGCGTTCATTTTGGGGAATCCACCTTTAACCCAAACCTCTCCGTCTTCACCGTACGGGAATCCACCATCCGACTCTCCGACCGCGCGGTGCGACCGCGAGTGCGAGTTCGATCGGCCCCATGGTTCGGGAAAGAGAGGCCTTATTCCGGTATCGGAGCGTCGTCTTTTTTGGGGTTGCCGGTGTTTTTGTACTAGATGTTCAACGTCGACTTTCTGAGGCAGTTGAATGAATAAACTTAGTGAATTTATTGTGTCCTTAGTTCCTAATTAGATCCCTATTAGACACACCCACCAAGCTTTGTTTTCAGATGTTTTCAGTAGAAGTCCGCTCCGCTTCTCGTTGACCAGGGAGTATGCGCCCAGTGCCATTGCAAGCATTTGCAGCGAGCTCCATTGGAAAATTCATTTCGAGGCCACTTCTGGTTGGGTGGGTGGGGGCTTGACCTTCGCACTGGTGCGTTCAGTTTGTGATCCTTTTGACCATCTTGTGTTTGGGGTGTGGACCTTGAGCAAGTTCGCTTCTCGCTTGCCGGAAGGGACCCCAAACGGCATGGCTATCACTTAGAGTATCCAAAGGGTACGGCGCTTAGGGTATTCCTTTGGGAATCAGATCGGCCTATGCTAGATGTGATGGAGCGAGCGTGAATTCCACACGACTAATTACAAGTGACAGCAAGTAGTGCAGGTCCATCAGTAGTATGCCCTGCGTTTTTTCGGCCCTCTATATAATGTAGACAGTCGATTCAGCAAACTATGGAGATGTAAAACCATTCTGCTAGGGGGATATATTAATCAACCTATATTATACACTACATTGATTGGATCGATCCTCTTGATTGGGTCAAGACCTGGGATGGGCTAGAGATTCGGTGATGAATTTAAAGTAATCTAAATACAAGTGAAGCCCCTCAGCGGCATGGTTTCAAAGAGTAAAATGCGCACATACTGACATCCTTCTCTTTGCTCACTCTCCATGAGCTGTGTGAATGCGGCAGTGAACTCCGGAGCTGGCAGTGAATCACCTGTGGTGAACCTGGATACAGCTTCAGCAGCTGGTAAACCCGGAAGCGTGAGCCAGCGTGCCGTTGATTCGGAGTGATCAGAGGCTGGTCGATGGAGACCAAATATCACAGGTCTGAAGACCAATGGACCTGGTCCAAAGCCTTGCTGCCATTGGTTTTCATGGAGGCTGCTGGACAGCCCTTCGCTCGTTGGCGTCTTGCTGTGCCGAGGTTTGAGTTGGACCGTGCTGACTGAGGGGTCGCTTCGGTCGTCTCAGACGTGCTTCGGTCGTCACCAGCGTCTCTTCTTGAAGACTTGATCTCCCCAACGAGGTTAGCCTCTGAGCTGTCAAGGCTGAAGCAGGGCCGGGATTCTACTGGCTGTTTGGCCACAGGCCAAGGGTACAGACAGGTCCTGGAAGTTGCTACATTCGGACGCCCTCTGATCGTGCTGCATTCGGCCAGCGACAAAGTGCAGCAAGCGAAGTGACAAGTACCGGGAACGGAGAGGCCTGTGAGGAGCACTAAACTTGTGCTCACGATCATGATCCGTTGGAATGCTTAGAGGACCGTGGAACTTCCAACAAAACACCAGTCGATCCATGTCAATCCCAGAGAAAACCACTGGTTACTGGCGACAGCGTGGGCGAAGATGTGTTTTCCCTGCGCCCGCGCTTCGATGTGCGCCTGCCACCGATCCGGATGAGACCGATGTCGCATCTTTCACGCATGGGTTTTGGGTCGACCACCACGGGAGCGTTTATTTTCACCAGAAATCACCTACTATAGATCCTACTAGACAATCACCGGACCAAGATCCTACTAGACAAGCAGGTGAGTAGGCGCCGGGCCAAGCCCCACATCGTGAGTCAGCGAAGTTGCTTCCAAAAGGTCATGAATTTCAACCCGGTCCTATGCGGGAACCGTTCGTATCCGGTACCAGGGATTCCGGGGATACACAATGGTTGAAGATCATATTAGATTTAAGACAGAGGACCGTCAAGTACCTCAGCAGTTTCAAAAAGGAGTGATTTTTGCGCTCCATGTGAGTGGATTTTCTGAGCCCCTACCCTCCAAGTTTGGCCTCTTGGAACTCCTGGTAGACCGACATCCCATGTTTGATCACAGATGAAAGGCCTCAAGCTGGCCAGTCACTCGAAAGCATCCCCAATCCAGTGGATCCCTGTGAAATCCAGCACCAAGTTCACCGTGTACCGTGTTTTAGTTGGTTTTATATATTCCAGTTACTATTACACTATTGTGTTTCATTGTTCTTATATACTATTACTATAGAATCATATAGAATCAATATATATATATATATATAAATTACCATACGGGGTAAACAGGCACGTTCACCAAATCGCTGCTGACTTGGGTCCCTTTTTTTCTTCCTCGATCGTATTTGTTCGTCGAGGTGGCGACGGCTTGTTCACGTCAGGGGGCATTGCCGCAGCATCTGGGATGAAGAAAGACAGGTGAAGAAGAGACAAGGATGGTACCTGGACCTTCCTTTTGGGGTGTGAAAAAAAATGAAGATCCACAGGTAGTTAGGCTAGTTCAACCAGACCCCGAGACTAAGGAAGGCGCTGGTATGATGGTAAGTTGGTTGGTTGTTTGTGCCCTTGTTTGTGGGTGACAGGCTCAAAAACGGCTGGTGGGCTGGTGATAAGTGTGCTCACCACATGGGAAAGCGTGGCACATGTGGAAGGATATGTGCATCCTGAACTTGAAAACTGGTTGTTTTACTTTTAGGTTATTGTAATCATTGCATGTTGAGAGCCAGCGTGATCCATGATGACGCCACTATCGACTTAAATCAAATATTGGTTTGTTGATAGGGATGACACGGTTGTGAAGGCAATAAGAAAGAACATTACATGTAGTGAAACAAGCCGGATAATGAGAAAACAATACACATGAAAGACGAGAAAGAGACTGAGCTAGCCTCAGTATCATGCATTGATGAGAAAAACACGTTCAGCCCAATCGATGCGACCATGAACTTGCAAGTTCCTTTGTTCAGTTTGATTTATGGCCTCATAGTTCTTACATTGGTATGGTCAAGATTAACAAAAGGGAAGTTTATCATGGATGGACATACTGCAGTTGGGGCAAAGATGATCAAAGTGTAGTTTGTGATGGACTCATGGACTCATAACTCATTATCAGACGGGATGCGTTGAGGCACTTCTCAAGTTTCAAGGTTTCCTGCGTTTTGGAGCATTTGAAGGGTCAATGTTTTCTCATTTGGAAGCCAGTTCCCAAGCACAAAGCACGACCAACAGGACGAAAAACACCATTTGAATCCAAAGAGTTTCAGCGTCCCCCTTCCGGTGTCGTCTCAAGTTGACCCGGTGTCGAAATGTGAGCCCTCCAGTGTGGGCCTCCAGAAAATCTGGTTTCATGGAAGAGGAATGAACGTGAACTCCCAAAGATTGCTTGGAGTTGGAAATCCAAGCTGTGACAACTTAAGGATACTTAAGGTCATTTTTTGGGGGGTGGGGGGGATGAGATGAGACACTTGTGGTAGTTGAACCCTCCAGGCGGCCATCGGTGATCCCCTGCCTCTGGGGGAGACCCCGTCCGCTCCCAGGTGCCGGCAAAGCATCGGACGAGCTGCGTTGCATTGCCCCAAGCAGCTTGGCCAACAGATCGCTCGGAGGTGGCCCCCGTCCTCGGATGTGGCCCCCGTCGGTGGTAGACACACTTGAACCTTGAGGATTTGGATTGTTATTGATGTGTTTAGGCCGTCAACCAATCAGATATCTTGAAGTTGATGAAAGCAGAGTGCAAGGCCAGTGTGCCACAGTGTTTGTTCTTTAGCTCATAAAACGATATTATTTGGGACAAAAAACACTTTGGGAGGGCCTTTTCGCCGGTTTACTATGTTCTGTCGCCACCTCAGGC